CCATCACCAACTTTAACTTTTTTCAGAAGAAAGTTCCAAAGTGTTATACTGCTAACAGAATATGGAAGCTTAGATTTTTAAGAGGTGAGAACAGAGATGCATTGAAATTGGCCCATGTGGTTTATGAGTTAGAGAACATCTTTATGTAGTACAAAACTGCAGCAAGAACATTTTTCAGAGAATAAGTACTATTATAGGATGAGGTATGTATTTCATTTAATATAGCCTTGCCATAAACGACCATAAAGGCAAAGTTGAGGCTGAGACATCCACTTTCAAAACTTCTTAGTGGTTACCAAATATAGTGCTTGTGTGTGTGTGCACATGTGTGTGCATGTGCGTGCTTATGTTGGGTTGTAGTTGGATTGAAGCACACCTATTCTTAATACCTGATTTTTGTATATAGCTTGAGGATTGGCATCAATATTATTCATAATTCAAATCAAATTTGTTTCAGGAAGTTAAATGAGATCCCCTGCCCCATCCCATGAAAATAGAACTCAAAATGCTGACATAGATTTTTGGCTTTCATGGAAGATGTGCTTTAGGTAAATACAAGTCTCTCCACTAACAGAGGAGTAGCTTGATGAAAGTCTCCGGCCTGTATTGTACAGAAAGTCAGATTAGGTGATTTCTTCTAGGGGATCTCATTGACATAGTCTGTTCTGGCCTTTAACATCTGTAAATGACAAACTAAACAGAAAGCAGAACATTTAAACCCAGAGAAATTTGGTTCAGCATTTGTGCCAGGAACTGATCAAGAGGATCTTCTAAAAATTTGAAGCTCAGTTTTAATTCATATTTCTATGATAGTTTTGTATACTGACATATTTGTATATGTATATTTGTATATAAGCATGGAAGTGCATTTACTTTGTGTGGGATTTGTATTGTATGAACAAGACAATAATTAATAAAAATACTTCTTGTCATCCCTCCTGGATTTCTATTTCTTTTTCTTTAAAAGTTCTTCAGCATATATATGGAAAACACTTTCAGATCATTTGTGGTATGGCAAGGTCAAGAGATACTGTAGTTGCTGTGAGTGGCCAAAAAACAATCCCACCGTTCTTTTAATGAGCCCATCCTTGTCTTTTGTTCTGGTTTAAGCAACCTTGAAATCATGGTTTTTTGATATAGCACTGCTCCTACAATTTTTTTTTTAATCAATTGGAAGTGAAAACTTACTGTTCCTTAAAAAGTGGTTATAGGCTAGTACCCATAAATGTAGATTTGCAATAATTGCATCATCATGCTCTTTCAATCCCAGTTGGTTTTAGTTCTGGTTTGGAGCAAAAACTACAGTGTGATGTAATCGCCTTCCTCTGATTATTTTTACCTTGGTGTATTCCATTGCTGGCTTGTGTATATAGTTTTTATGTGCTGTCATTTGAAAAACTTTAAAACTCCTGAGAGCCAGTCTTGGAAATCCTTCTGGATGTATAATTGTTTTTTTATTTGTGCATGGCAATTGCAGCAGCCCATTAGGGGCCTATAATTCCTATTGAGCATAGAGTGGACTTATCATCATTTAATACGGACTATGTTTTTGCTCCTCAGTTGAGCTAAAATCTGCTTACTGTTGTGATTACCATCCCTGGGCTCCACCCTGCCTTTCACCACCTGCCACTTACAAGTAATTCCTTTGGCAATGAGAATACAGCCAAAACTGTCAAATAAATTGAACCCTTTTTGAGAGCCTTCTGATTATTATTCTTATTTTGTGGTGATGTCAGATTTCCAAGGGTAATCTCTCACTGGAGGAGTATGTTTTTCTTTGGGACTTGCATCACCCTCTCATTTTTAGTCTCCATTTCAGAAGTAATGATTGCTTACTGAAAATATGCATTATGTGGATTTTCTATTATTCAATTCCATTACTTTTTATGAGCACATTATTACATTTCTAGGAAAGAGAAGTTTCTTTAATCCAGAAAATAAGCCAAGGATTGACAACAGGCAAACTTGTTTTTTCCCCGAGTACATACAAGTTTATTTGTTGCCATCTGAGAAAAAAGAGTTTTCAGTTCCTTATTTTAAATACTTTAAATGCACTCTATGGCAATATTTGTGTTCTCTGCTTAAGCAGCAGAAGTATTTAAAAAGTGTGCTTTTAAGATAAAAAAAAAGAGTGTTTGTTACTAGCTGGGAAGAGTGTTTCCCTTCTTTCTTTTTGGATGTTTGACATCATTGCATATATATAAAGTGAAATTCAGAACTAACTTCCTTCACACTTTGATGTTTGTGATGCTATTAACTCCCACAAAACAAAATACAACCTCAATTTAAGCCTCGTAGAAACGTAAGAGAAGCGATGTCTAAGTGTTCATGCCTGGCATTTTACAACAGCTGCTAACAGTTTTATTCTGTTGTCATAGTAAAATTTTAAACTAACGTTTACAACTGCTTGCTTGAAGTCAGTGTCATACACCTGTAAGCTTACAAGGGCAGGAAGAGCAAGCCTTCTCATGCTCTGTATTCCTCTGTGATGCACTATTAGATATTTGAACCACAGTGCTGGACACTAGGCCAAATGTAAATGCAGTTACAGTGAATGTGTCACTAAGGCAGTGGTTTGAAGATTTTTTTAAGCATTGTCTCACTGGTATCAGCTTCATCTTGTCATCCTTTATTGGTCCTAACCAAGGCTTTTTTATAAATCCTCTGCTGGGGGCAGTTAAACTGCTCCCAGTAACTTAGGTGGCTTGGTCTTTGTAGGTCAACGTACTGTGGTCACCAGTGACTGCAAGGCAGATTTCCTCCAAAGACAGAGGAAGGCCACACGTTTATGGGATGCAGCCTCAGGAGAGATTTGGGCTGATGCCAGCTCCCAGGAGTCTCTCCAGCAGAGGTTTCCTATCTCCTCTTCTCTTGCTTCCCTGTCTTTTTGCCTCCTAACTATCTCTTGCTTTGTTTTCATTTCTCATTCTACATTCTACATTTAGTAACTGAAAACAGGCGCACTGTGCACATCAGTGCTATCTGATGCTCATCCTTTTCTCTCTTCCTTCCCAGAAGTGAACGTTCTCAGCAAAGAAATGGCATTACAGTGGCACAGGTATTCTTTGGTGAAGAGTAGAAGGGAGAGCTCCCTTTCAGCCTATTTACAGTCCCGTACCTGAAAGAATCCAGAAAACATGCCATTGCAGTAATATATTCAGTTACTGACAGTAACTTGTATGGCTGTAGAACTACTTGAAAAATACATATTTCTTGTACTGTATGCTGATTAGATTTTTCAGTGATGGCCTAGATTCTATACTAATGATAGCTTTTGAAATGCATTTATTACAATAGATAAGTAAATATTAAAAGATTCATGTATTCTGTGGTTAAAATAAAGTTCATAACAACAATAGTAACACATCTTATATTCAAAGCATACTTAAAAGCAAGAGACCACACTATACACTTAATGGAATATACACCTTACTTCTAAAGTGTATCACAAAATCATAGAATGGTTTGGGTTGGAGGGGACCTTGATCATTTTGTTCCAACCACCCTGCCATGGGCAGGGACACCTTCCACTAGACCCCTAAGAGCTGATTATTTGGGTATTTTTTTTTAGGTCATAGATCCTCTTTCTTTTTTCCTGCTTGAGTCTGGTGATCACTTTGCAAATCTGAACCTATACCTTTTTGCTTCAGAAAGCTGTATGCTGTAGGTATGTATGTTGTTGTTCCATAATGTTGTTGTGACATAGTTTGGATTTCTGATGGACTTCTAGACATCTTAGACAGCAAGAAGTGTGATGGCAAAAAAATGCCCTGTAGCCATGGGATACTTTTCATGAGCTACGTTGTGAAGTAATGTAGAGAGTTTTGCTGTCATTTTGGATACTCTCTTTTTACCTATATATTGTAAAATCGTTGAAAAACTTATTCCCTGAAAATATAGGCGGTTTATATAATGGCAGTGCTACTACTCAGTTGAATAGAAGAACATATTCACCAGAAAAACCTTGAGCAGGGTGGATGTGTATATGCAAATTAATGCTGTCTTTCAGAAAATATTTGCCCAAGTGTACTTCTTGAGAGATTTCTTTGTTAAGACGTTATCATGCCTTGGTATTGCAAACTGGCACATCTTCTGTGCCTACTAGGAGTATGTCGGGTTTGCCAGAGCAGCGTGAGCATACTCACAGTTATGGTCAGCAAATAAATGGGAAAATCTGCATCCACTGGAGACAACAAGGAGCCAAGAGCCCTTTGTAGGGGTGTAGCTGACATCTGCAGGTTTCCCTGCACAGTGCTGTTTTCAAGTGTAGGATAAAACAAATACACCTTGACCAAGGGTTGTTTAAACATCCAGACACGTTCTCAGAAATGGAAAAAAGGATTCTGGGTTCACTTGGGTAAACAACTGTATCGCAAAAGGTTTTAGGAGTAGGGAAGAGCTGGTGAGAGAGTGAGAAACAAAGAATGTACTTTTTAGAGGTCTGAAGAGGCTTAGCAGCGGTCGACCTGTTGGGCCTTGAAAAGTCTATAAAAATGTGATTAAGTCGAGAAAAAGTTAAGTGGAGGCATTTTGGAATGAGGATAGGACTGAGATTAAACTTGGGTGCAGCCCTGAAATGAAATGGATGTTTCTCCTCATCTTTTAATGAGGTTAATGTCATCAGATACAGAAAGTATAGAAATGTGAACTATTCTATCCAGGATGAAACCAAAACCAAAAATAGCAAGTCCACTTAAGTGAAGGGACAAGATGTTTCCGAATTGTGAGAGAAGTAAAGCATGAAAATGAGGTTCAATACCATGGGCTTCTCATAAACCTGCTGAATAGGTATCATATGATTAGGCTGTAACAAATGTGTTTATATGTATGGACTATTCTGTTGATTTTACTAATGAATAGCCTATATCCAGCAGGGAAGACCATACATTTTTAAGAAATGCTGGAAAATAACTATGAATGTGATTAAATGCGAATTAACGCTGTCTTTTTTCTAACGGGACTTTTTAGAAAAAGTAGTTCTCTTTTTTTGTCTTTCAGCCATGGAAGAGTTAATAGTTGAGCTGCGCCTGTTTCTTGAACTTCTGGACCATGAATATCTAACTTCCACTGTCAGGGAGAAGAAGGCGGTAATAACCAACATTCTCCTGAGGATACAGTCATCAAAAGGTCAGTGTCAGGGGTGGGTTTTCCCGCTTGCAGAATGCACAGAATAAGTCTGTACTCAGTGAAATAGCTTTAAGAGCTAAAGACAAGCCCTAAATTGAAGCAAGACGGAATGACAGGGTGAAGCCAAAGAGTAGCTTTCCTGAATGCTTTCCTTCATGTTCAGCAGTAAAATATAGCTAAAGGCATACTGGAAGTATCTTGGATGCACATGGCAACAAAATTACGTACTAGATAAAATGATTTTGCTTCTGCTGATAGAGTCATTACTTCATTTCATTTGTGGCAGCAATGCTATCTATGAGTTTTGATGGAAAAGTAATACTGGCTCAGGGAGTGCTGGCCACAGCACCATTTTATAGTTGCGTGGGTGCTGCATCCTGCATCTCTGTCAAATGACCCAGATCCATCAAGAGGCTTGATACGGAGGTGGACTCTGGTGCATGGCTGATACAGGAGAGCCAAGCTAGAGCTAGGAAATGGCTGTCAGCATGTTTGGTTTGCATTTTGCAATTATAGTTATATTAATTTTCCCCTTTTCTTCCTATCTAAAACTATTTTGATTGCACAATCGCTTTTATCTCCATCAAGATTATGGAGCTGGATGCAATATAAATGATTCACTGTGTACAGCAACCTTTCCACAGATTATTCGAAGAATATTCCTCACTATTTTTTCTAACAGTACTCTTAGATTTCCTTACACCACCTTTCTGTATGAAGTAGCATCTGGGCTACAAGACCTCTGTCTCTCCTACAGTTGACAGAAATAATGTCAGTGTAAAGCCTCGGTGGTTAGATTTTTGAAAAATACCAGAGTGTATTGAAGAAAAATGCCACATTGTGAGCAGCTGCATTTCTCATGATTAGTTTCTTCTCCAGTGCTAAAAAAATATGGTCTTGTTTGATGCAGTGTTTCCCCCCTTCAGTAAAGAAATAATTTTTGCCACAGGATTCAAGTCTAAGGAGATCACCTTGAAAATAATGATTGTCCTCCTTTCCATTTTGACATTCTTAAAAGACCCATTGCTATTTTTACTTTACTACTGAGAGAAGGAGGCAGGTTACAATTTCACATATTGTGAAAGGAGGCTTTGTACTCCAAAAGCCAATCAAGATACTCCCCAAAACCAAGATCTGTAGGTGAGAACCTGCAATTTGGCATGTTTAAAAACAGCTGTGTTTTACAGTTCAAAATAACGTCAACAATGCGGATCTGACACTGCATGTTCTTCTTGTAATCTTTTCGACTAGATTTACTAAGAAAAACATTTGACTTCCTCAAGAAGTCAGACAACATTCTGTTGCCAATTTTGCAAACACAAGGAAGGGTTGTCATGTCCTTCTGGATTGTGGATGGTGTTTCAGCACACAAAATCTACAGCTCTACTAGTAACTTAAACAGTGCTGAGTATGTTTCTGGACTCTAGAATTCAAATATTTGTGCTGTTAAACTATGGAGTGGTCCTTAGCATGGGTTTGGCCTGAGCTGACTTGTCTCCTCCATCAGTTCCTAGGCATGATTCGGGAGTCAGCATGGGCAAAGATCTGTTACCAACAGACAGTTCAAAATCATCACCCTCCACTTTGGTTTTGAGGGGTGACAGATTTTAACCATATTGGTATCAATTTCTGTGTACCAGAGCACCTTCCTAGGCTTGTTTAATTTATGACTCTATATATGGCCAAGGATAAAAAGACTCAAGGACCATAGCTTTCTACCTTTCAGCACCTAACATTTAGGTTTTGAAGCCTATTACAGGATCTATAACAAGATCCATTACATCCTATTACAGGATCCATCCATTAGCGAGATCCATACGAGATCGATATATTAAGTGGTAGGGCTTAGCTCAGTGCAGTTGATACTGGAACATTTTACCCACTTCTAGCACCTACATCGAAGGAGATAAAATTTAGACATTTCAAAGAAAAGTCATAAAAGTGATTAAAGGATCCAGAAATATCCCTTCAAATTATCCGAAATGAGGTATCATAATTAATCTTGATGTAGAAAAGGAATGACTGAAAATGAGCTCTTAGACTTACACAACAGTAACTGCAATGGCTGAATGTTTGTTTCAAAGTGGAAATAAAGCATATTTTGAGCACTGAAGCTATGAACTAATGGAAGAACTTTGTAAGGTCTGCATGCCATTGCTGGCATTTTATCAAGATGGAATATTTTGCTAAAAGATATGCTCTAGTTCAAACAAGAATTATATCAAGGAAATCCCATAGTTCAGTTAAACAAGAGGTCATAGGACTCTGCTTTATATGTCTATAAACTCTAGTTTATGGAACTGCAGTTTAAATAGAGTTTAAACCAGCATGGCCTCTAAAAAAAGCATCCTGTTTCTCTCCCCAGGCTACTCATTCTTGCTCATCATGTATTGCATCTTCCTTTCTGCTAACAGAAGCATTATTTGCTTTTTTTTGCTGGTTTACTCCTAACTGGTGTCACTTCCCTGGTCTGGTTTGACCTCAGGCCACACACATGCTTATGCTGGCACAAAGGAGAGGTTGGTGCAGGGACAGGAACAAGGCAGGGAAGGAGAGGAGCTGCCTCCTTGGGAGCTCTGCCATCCCATGCTGGCTTCAAGTGTGTGTGAAACTACCCGGGGAGTCATGTACTTTACTGGAGCTGACCCTGCTGCTTTTTTTATCAGTTTTAACATTCAGTACTCCCATCCCTTTGAAACTATTCAACTCTTCATTAAAATTAAAAGCAATAAAAGATACATAAACCCACAGTACTCTATAACTAAGCTGAACTGTCATTTGGAGTCTGTTTTTCAAAATGTTGTTTTACTCCACCCACATAACTCCACGAGAGCTTTTGGGTCGCTGGCACAGTTTAAGAGGCCTGAGGACTATGCTGAGTTCAGACTCTTTATGTGCATTTGCAAAAATCAACTGTGTGAATCCAACAGGATATTTCAATTGCTGGAACAAACCATATAAGATCAATGGGGAACGGTAATGAAGTATCTGGGCAACTGGGAACTGGCTGGGTTCTTTATAACATCTGGAAATGGACAATTATGTTTTTCTTTGTAAAGGTGTGGAAATTATTATAATGGGCTGGTTGGCTTTTAGTAAAACACTTTAAACTCAGTAAGTTCTTACTTGGGGAATTCTTTAGAAATCTTTTGCCTTGTTTTGTTTCATCTCCCAAATGCACACTGTTTTCTTCATTTAATATCTATCAAGCAGAGAGAACTGGGCCAGGCGGATGTGTTCCTCAGGTCATAGCTCCTTGGCCTTGACCTGCCACATGTCCAAACCAGTGGTTACCCTGTAATAGCTGGCAAAACTATAAACTTTATTTTTCTTCCTGAGCCTTGGCATGCCCAAGGCATTGCAGGTCTGAAGAAAACACTTGGCATTTCCTTCTGAAACTCAGACTTTCTTCTAAAAAGCAAAGACACAAACAGTTTATTTTGGAGTAAGAACTGTTGCTGGATTTAGTCATTTAATATGACTGTCAACATTGCCTGTTTCCCTTAAAGGGACTTGATGCAATAAGCCTATAGTGCTCACTTTGCTGTGTAGTTTGGTAGAAGCAAATAAATGTTAGAGCATAGTTTAAAACTGGGGAAAAACTAGTTTTACAGAGTCAATAGAATTCACTAGGAATACTTTTTTTTTCAGCAAAAAGCCCTTCATATTTGACTTCTGGTTGTTATGGAAAGCATTGAACACTTGGATATGGATAGCAGTCATAATATGGATTAATCCTACATAAAGAGCAACAAGTGAAAGTTATATTGAAAAAAAAAAAAGGAATGTTTCCCAAGACTAATCACCCTCTTGATTTGTAGGAAGAAAGAAGAATCTGTGGCCCTTAGAGACAGTTTATTTTATCAGTGTTGTTTTTCAATCCATGACTTCACAGCCAGTGGGACTGGGGTATTATGACAAGAAACATTTCATCATTGATTACATTTTTGAGAATTATATGATCTTGACCAAAAGACATCCATTTGACTATGTAAATATATATTTTAAAACCTAAACTAAACACTAGGAGCTGAATTCAGTGGAAGGGTAAGCAGGGTACAATCCATTGACTGAATTTTTGCCAGAACATTGAGGAGATGCACCCTAATCTCCCTTTTGATATTTAGAAAAATAAACAATATCATGTTCCTATGAAGTGAGTTCAACTGTGATTTAAATTATTGTGCCAAAAACTCAGAACGAGTGGGTCACTCTTCTTTTCCCCTGGGAGGGAGATGCAACAGTGATACAAAAGACCCGCAAGGCAGCTTTTACATTCGACTCCTTTTCCCTTTTCAAATTCACTTGGAAAACTATGGGATTATTTAAAAAAAAAGAGAGGAAGAAGGAAATGGTGGGAAAACATGCTCAGTGTATGGTTCTATTAATGGTGAGTTGATTAGGGCAATGTCCTCCCAGCAGTGACGTGCTCTAGGTTGGCGTCTCACAGCATCCTGGATCTCCCAGGACTTGTGCAGACTCACACCACAGCTCCATGATCTGAGATGGCTGTGGCAGCAGGGAGCCCAGGGAACATGGACGCTGTGGGCTTGGCCAAAACAGCTGTCACCATCGCTGCCAGGAAGGCAGGCAGGCAGGGTCTCTTCTTCTGCCCCTTCCCCCACTCTTTTGGTATGAAAGGTGGTTTTTGACTCATTTCTGCATGATGGTCTTGCCTGTCCAAAATGTGCCATGGGAACAACTGTTGGTCATCTCCACTGGTAAAAGGCAGCCAGCCACATACTGCTCGCAGGCTGACCGTGTTTTATTTACTGTACGGTGCCATTGCGACATTCACAAGTGTCGTATCTTCCCCTCATAAATGGTTTTATCTATATGGTAGATGCCTGGCAACATGTTTGAATTTTAGCTGTTTAAGTCTTTCAGTTCCAGATGGATAGCCAGTTCAGAATGATTTCCTGTAAATTTTTTCTGTGTCTGGTATTTGTAGATCCAAATAGCATATATGTCATTATCATATAGAGTAAGTATGTGTTTGTTCTGCTTGATTAAATTCCTGAATTCCCAGCATTCTTCCAGTCCTGCCTCAGTAACTGCGCTTGGGAGGTAGGCTGTGAGCGGCACTGCGTGCCAGATTTTGGTGTGTGACAGTCAGACATGGTGTCCACATGTGGAAAAAGTGTCCCATTTGCATCCACCAAAGTGTTAAGTGATGTCTGTTGCTCTTCCATAGGTTTTGAAATAAAAGAACATGTACAGAAGCAAGAAGTTGCCAACAGTTTGCCGGCACCTCCTCAAATGCCTCTGCCAGAAATACCTCAGCAGTGGCTGGTGAGTGTTAATTTAAATGTATAAATATATAAACATATATAAGAGAGAATATATTTGTGATAAGCGCTATCAGAAGTAGTTACAAGGGGAAGGAGCCTGCAGGTCCAGGGAAATGATTATTCCTTTCATCTCCGCTCTGGTTGAGGGAATTGGGTTCAACTTGCGGAAGAGAAGACAAAAAATTCCCTGTGGTGAAATAAGCCTGACAACACATCACCTGCAAAGGCTGTAGCATCCCAATCTTTGGTGATTTTCAAAATTCAAGGGGCAAAAGCCTGAGCAACTTTAATCTTAACATCAAAGGTTGACCTGCCTTGTGTTGGAGGTTAGCCTGGCCGAGCCCACAGGTCCCAGCCAGCTTCTTAGGATTTTAATGACCAGCTTTTTTTCCTGGAGGAAACCTTATGAGAAGACTCCCTCTTGACAGCTGAAAAACAAAGGTGCAGAGTTTTAAAATGAAGGAAGAATACTTCCTTTTTTTTATGAAGTCTTTAGTGCCTTTCTGTGCTCACTCCCCGGGTAGGAAATTCCGTGCGAAACAAGTAGAAGTGCATGTTCTTGGAGGTCTTTATAGCAAAGATACTGATTGAGATCTGTAATTCAATTCCTCCAGTTGGGAGCAGCTGTCTTGTTACAGAATAAACTATAAACAAGTTTTAATGTTCCTCTGTTACTGACTTTACAGTAGATTTGAAGAAAACGTTTTCAACATTTTTTTTAGAGAAGCATAAGCAAATCATGGTGTAGCATGTTGAAAGGTGAACACGGTCTTAGCCCTAATACTGATAAATTATCCATCTTTTTATTAATTTGTTGAAAATTGTGTGCATGGTGATAAGGTTAATCTGTGGATACCCGCATTCACTGACTGAAGCAGGAAGTACAGATGCAGCTTACAGGGACAGAACAACTGGATGACTGATGTTCTGCTTTATTTTAATGTCTTACTCTGTTACCGCATTTATGCCCAGTTTTGAGAGATACATAAGCCAGTAGCATCTTATGAACATAAGGACTAATTTATCAGATCAAACACTTGGCCAGCCTTTCATAATAACCTTTATTTGATGGTGAATAATACTATGTACTGCAGAACAAAGTAAAAAAGCCCAACAACCTTGTATTATGTAGAATATCTTAATCATGGTTTCTCTCTAAGCACTGCTAGCTTTTGGTTTCTGACCTGAACAAGAGTTTTGGTTTATTTTTTTCAATTTCAGTTCTACCTAATGTAATGAGATATACTGAAACCATTATAGTAAGGGAATGTGTATGCTGGAAACATTCATTTACAGAATTAGTACGTATTCGGTAGGAAAATTCAACTAAAAGGGATGCTGTAAAATAATTATGCATAGATTTGAATGGATGTAAAAGTGGTCTTATTAATATGCAGTGAAACCTGGAGAATCCATTTCATGGTTAATAGTGCCTGAAAATGATTATTTTTCTTTAATTCAAGATGCATATAGCATAAATTACAAGGGAAGCAGTTGATGAGAGGCAGGAGAATTATGCAAAATGCACATGCCTTTGAAATGTAGACTTCAGGTGCTAGCTTCATAAACTGAAGCCAGTTGAGATCCTTATTCTTTCATATTTATGTAGGTTCAGTTTAATAAATTGGCTCTGAAGATTCAAGTTGTTTTTATAAAGAGAACTGACCTACTTTTCCTTTCTCATACACTAATGTGTAAATTCCCTTAAAGTTGGTACAGCTGCAGCGAGTGAAATGGTGTGAAGTATGAATTAGGTCCAAGAGGTCAACACTGTTTTTTGCAGTAGTTCAGTTTCAATTTTTGAGTAACAAAAATATTTCTCTGAGATACAGTGGGAATTACTGTGGAAGTTGACACAGTTAGAGCTGGCTAGTCTGGAGCACGATCCTCCCATGTTGAGCCTCACAAAGTAGCGTTTGAACAAGGCCCTCCCCTCTGACCTGCCCGTGATGCTGTGGGCACTTTCATCTCAGTGAAGTCACCAAGCTGAGCTGGTTTTTCCATAGTACAGCAGCTGATTTTTGCCAGTTTTTCTGCAATTCTGTTGCTGCTGTTCAGGCAGTCGTGGTTTTCACATCCCTCTCTGGTGTTGGTGTCACCTTGAGATCAGCCAGGAAATGTCCCAAGCCTCTCATTGTCTTGCATTATCCAAATACAGGTTATGAATGGTGCTATATTAAGATGGTAGCATATTGTAATTTGTGAAAAAGATGACAGACTGTTGCTGTCCTGCAAAAGACCAGGTAGAGTCAGAAGGGAAGGACAAAACCATCAGCTTTTTGACCTTTGATCATTGGGGCAAGCTTGAAACCCCAGTCTAGCTGTTTAAAAACTTCTCCTGAAGTTATGTTGAACTGATGGAATTGATCGTTAGCTGTTTTTTTGAAAATCTTTCTCTATTTGGTTCCTCTTGTTAGCACCTCATTATTATTAAATATGATCAGAGACCGTTGTATTGTCTTTCTTTTTACACCAGGCTGGACCTCAGTGACAGAGGCCAAGATCTAATTTTCCCTTCCATTAATGCTCCTGTATGGTGATTTCCTACCTACCCTAAATCAATGGACTCCTAAAAATTAGTAGCTGATGATGCCAGTCTGTATAAATATTGCACATAATTACATTGCTCAGTGACACAAATACTGAGCTACCTTTCCTAGCCACTTTTCATAGACCATGCTTTCATAATCGAGTGGAAGAAATCCCCTGGGCCCGCCAAAGGCTAGGAAATTCAGCACCAAAGTGCCCTTCTTCATATGACAAGTTGGAAGTTGTGTGGCACCTCTTTTTGCCAACCATTCAGGACAGAAACTTTTTTCCACTTGCTGAGTAACATCTAGTGGTGGTCTCAGCCTCCAGTGGAAACACAGTGCACTGCTGGAACATAGGAGTTTACTGGAAGTGGGAATCAATAAGTTTAAATAAACTGTGCACTGTTTTAAAATCTATGTTTTCAGCACATCAGTTATTGAGCATGATGGAAATTAAAGTTTCATTTACACCACTGTTTCTCTTTACGGCACTCAAGGGATTCTGCATTCAAAAATATTTAGTCTGAATTGATGTTTAAGCTTTTACTTATGTAAAGATGTGTGGGTGGGAAGGAATTCAATACTCCTTAAAGTACTGCCAGGAGCCAGAATTATGTGTGGGCAGGTGCTGTGCAAGGTTTCCTTTGTAAATCCGTAAATAGACCTGCGTATTTGCTCAGGCCAAATCTTTTATCAGTTTTGTTATTCATCAGCTCATGAACAGAAAGTTTAAAATTAATTTTATTTAGAGACATGCTGTTAATAGTTTAAGTGAAGTCTCCAGTTATTAAAACACATTAGAGCCCAGAGAGACTAGACTCCGTGAGCATTGGACCAGGTCTTAAAACTGGGGGACAAAGTTGGACCTTGCATATAGTTGAATGAAGCAAATCGCTAGGCACGCAGTCTCTTAGTAATTCTCTTTTTCTGTATACATTCTCTTGCCTGCATCTGGTCTAGCAGACTTTCTGTAACGCTTAGAAAGCACAAATCCTCGCTTTCTTTAGCCTATGCACACAGCTCCTTCAGATGGCCAACAAAGTAAAAGCTGCAGATAAAGGATGTGAGCTTAAAGGCAGCTTAGAGTCCTGCTGCAGAACTGAAACACCACTTGCCTGGATGCATTGATATGTGCTTGCTAGCATGAATACAGTGCCAGCAGCTAGGGAAGCTTTGTCTGGGTCAGCAGTAGAGGAGGAGATCACCATGTTTGAAATAGAGTCATATTGGTTCTCCCCTCTTGAATCTGCTTACTATGAGGGCTTGTGTCTTTTAGCCTGCTTTCTCCGTCTCTACATCAGCAGCTACTTTTATGATATTTCCCTGCTCTTGACAGGCAAGAAGCAGTGCTAGATGATGGGTTTGCAGGAGTAACAGAGCCAAGGCTCTGTGTGTACCTCAAAATTCTGCTGGTGGTTTAACAACTGGGATCCCATCATTGCACTATCACCAAGTTGCCTTGAAGTATATTTTCCACTGAGGCAGTAGGATAACATCCAGTGTGTCCTGCTGCTCAGATGTGCCTGAGGATTACTGGCATAAATTATCCACAGCATGACAGTGACAGAATACTTCTAGCCTCCAAGCATTCGGTTGTCATGTTACATCTGACAGTTGGTGATTTCAGTGCACAGTGCAGTCCAACAAAATCAAATACAAACAGCACACAGCTATTTTGCATGATTTTCACAGTAAAATTGAGTATATGTTTTGTTTTTCTTGGAATATTGACAATTTAATATTTATTTAACTGCAACAAGTGTCCAGCAAGATGCCAGAACCCCTGTAGATATAAATCAAAGGGATAGGTCATCTTCCTCCAACCCTTTCCTGCAAAGTACACAGTCACTCTGTAGGAGTGCTTCATATAAATGGATTTCCTATTGTGGAGAAGTGACTTGACAGCCTCCCTTTATCTGGTATCTGGCTGCCTGTCACGTATAGTCTTAGATATTTATTAGAAAATGCTGAAAGGAGACAGTGTCCTTGGAGAAGAAAAAAATCGTGCTGAAATCAAAAGGATTTTTGAGGTGAGACATCACCAATTACATTAATCATTCTTTGAACAACAACAAAAAAAGTGCCAGTCTTAAAGCTTCTTCTAAAATGTGCAGTGAGACTAGTGCCATAACAAAAACAAGGGACTCATGTGCCAGGTGAGTACTTATGAATCTTTATTTCATCTTGCTTTTTCTTATGACTGAAAAGCAGCTGTTCGTCTTAAAATATAACCTTAAGGTAGTATTAGACTTGGAGTTTTTTCCTCACAGAAAATTTTTAAAAGCCACAAAAATAAACTCAACAAAAATTCAGTTGTTTCATTCAGAGCTGGCTAATAGCTTCAGTTTGAACAGATCTCAACAAGTTCTTCTGTATTTCTTCCACGCACCTGCTGTAAGGTTCATGTCCTAGTTTGATCATCAGTGACCAGAACAGCAGAGTCTTCTGGACATAGAATCATAGAATCATT